TTGAAAGTGGAATTGAGACTTACTCCAACCAGTTCCTTCAGATGGAAAATGAATGACACCCTACTAAGAGACCAGGAGATCGTGAAGAAGGCCCAAAAAACTTTAAAAGACTATTTTGAAATTAACTGGAACACCTCGGTGGAAAAGAGAATAATCTGGGACGCAAGCAAAGCAGTAATGAGAGGGTTTCTGATACAACAAAATACGATTAAGAAAAAACTCTGGAATGGAAAAAAGGATAAGATACTAGAGAAGATAAGAGACGGAGAGAAAAAATTGAGACTAAAACCAAAATCAAAAGAGGTTCTAAGAGAAATTAAATTCCATCAAGCACAATATGCGAAATTGATAAATCAAGAAGTGGAATGGAAAATTAAACAAATGAAACAAAGATCATTTGAATCGGCGAACAAATGTGGGAAACTGCTAGCATGGCAGTTGAAAAAGAGACAAAAACTGAACTTTGTTACCAATCTGGAGGATGAAGGGAGAAATATTCAGAAACCAGAAGAAATTAGAAAGTGTTTCCAGAGATACTTCAAAAAACTTTTTACCCAAGGGCCTCAGGAAGAGACTGAGATAGACCAATTTTTAAAAGTTAATGGATTACCAAAACTATCTCAGGAGAAGAGAACAATCTTGAACTACAGAATAACACAACAGGAAATTGAGGGGGCCATTCAGAACATGCAACTAGGCAAATCTCCAGGCCCAGATGGACTTACCTCCAAGTATTATAAGACATTAAAAGACTATTTGATACAACCACTAATGGAGGTTTGTAACCAGATTATGGAGGGGAGGAGGGCACCGGAAACGTGGAAAGAAGCCTTCATCACATTGATACCTAAACTGGAAACTGAAAAGACTCAACTTAAGAACTACCGTCCCATCTCACTCCTAAATGTGGATTACAAAATTTTTGCAGATATTTTGGCAAGTAGATTTTAAAAAGTGCTAAATGAAGTAATTCATAAGGACCAGGCAGGCTTTCTCCCAGGCAGACATTTGTTTGATAACACCAGGAACATTATTGACATTTTGGAACTTTTGCAAACTAATATTAACACTAAAGCAGTGTTAATTTTCATTGATGCGGAGAAGGCCTTTGACAACATTTCCTGGAAGTTTATGAAGAAAAATTTGGAAGGGATGGGAGTGGGACGGGGGTTTGAAAATGGCATAGAAGCAATTTATTCAGAGCAAAAAGCTAAATTGATAGTGAACAATGTGGTGACAGAAGAGTTTAAAATTGAAAAAGGAACACGACAGGGGTGCCCTCTTTCCCCTCTTTTATTTATTTCAGTCCTGGAGGTGCTTTTGAATATGATTAGGGAGGACCGGTTGGTGCAAGGAATACAGGTCGGAGTGAAACAATATAAACTGAAAGCTTTTGCAAATGACTTGGTTTTAACATTACAGGAGCCAGAACCCAGTACAAAAAGAGTTTTAGAACTGATTTATGAGTTTGGTCGGGTGGCGGGATTCAAGTTGAATAAGCAAAAAACTAAAGTTTTGGGAAATAACTTGACACCTTTAGAAACAGATGGGTTTCAGAAGGAAACAGAATTAAATGTGGTTAAAAAAGTAAAATACCTAGGGGTTAATTTGTCTTCCAAAAACTTGAATTTATTTAAAGATAATTATGAAAAATGTTGGTCAGAAGTTAAAAAGGATCTAGAAACCTGGTCAAGATTGAAACTTTCCTTGTTGGGTCGAATCGCAGCTATAAAAATGAATGTATTGCCAAAGATGTTGTTTTTGTTTCAAACCCTACAGATTGTGGACAGAGTAGAATGTTTTGGTAAATGGCAGAAGGACATTTCTAAGTTTGTTTGGCAGGGCAAAAAGCCCCGAATAAAATTTAAAATACTAACTGATGCAAAAGAAAGAGGGGGGTTTGCCCTGCCAGACTTAAGGTTATATTATGAAGCTGCGGCCTTCTGCTGGATGAAGGATTGGTTACTTCTGGAGAACACTGATGTCCTAGATCTGGAAGGGTTCAATAATGCTTTTGGATGGCATGCATACTTGTGGTACGACAAGGTAAAGGTTCATAAAATGTTTAAAAACCATATTGTCAGAAAAGCAATATTTATGGTCTGTACAAAATACAAAGACTTATTAGAAGGTAAGACCCCGAGGTGGTTATCACCAGCGGAGGCCAAGGCTCGAAAAAGACCCAATATGGAGGCCGGCTGGCCGAAATATTGGGAAATAATAGAGAAAATTGGAGATAATTGGAGACTGCAGAGCTTTGAAAACTTAAAGAATAAGGTGCAAGATTGGTTTCATTATGCTCAAATTCAAGAGGTTTTTAAGTCGGACAAAAAAACAGGATTCCAGGTGGAAAAATCGAAACTAGAGACAGAACTGTTAGAGCCTAAGACTAAGGTACTGTCAGAGCTGCCTCCAGGTCCCAGCTCACAGAGGACCAACGCTAGCTGGCAGTAACGTACAAAAGTCTTTATTGAATTACAGTTTCCATTTTCAAGCCGCAGCGCGCAGCTCTACGTCTTAGAAGCTAGACCGGCGAAGCTCCGTCTGAGTCTCCACCCCCTGTACACCAACTTAAGACTCTAACCTTACTCCACCTCTTCCGTCTCTCCTTCCTCCTCTGGGTCTCTCTGCCCCCCGTGGTCATATCCTTTCTGGACTCTTCTGACGCCGACCCCCCGGACTCTTCTCCCTCCTTTCGGCGGGCTTTAGGACCTGGCTCCCTATCCGGGCTACTTACTGTGCCGCCTTCCTGTGCATTTGAACTTGGCGCGCGCGCCCAGCCTTCAACCTTCCTCTTGACCGTTTCCTCGCTCCCCGATGGAGGTGTGGCCAATCCTGACTCATATCCTCCCGCTGGCGGTGAGCCGCCTGATCCCGATACCTGGGACTCCTCCCCCCTACTGCGCTCTGGTGGGGAAGCTGGTCCTGATTTCCAACTGCTGCTCTCTGAGTCCCCTCTGGCCCCTTCTTCCTGGGGTGTCCCCCTGGGCGCCCCCCTTGCTCTGACCATGGGCGCCCCTTCCTGTGAATCTTCCGATTCGCTGGAAAGACTCAGAGACCTCGGGCCGCTGTCATCGCTAACATTCCCTTCGGATTCCTCCCCCTCACTCTCTATTTCCTCCCTTTCCTGTGCCTCTGCTCCTGAACCCCTGACAGGTACTTTCAAAAATGTATAACCTGCTGCTTAAATGGAACACTCAGGATGAGACAGTCAAATCAGCCATGATAAAATGGGCTCAGGACATTGGGTACAACATTATGTTTGAAGACTGGGAAAGGTTATGGACCACTGGTATGAAATTCACGGCATGTAATGCCTTGAAAGAAAATATTATGAAAATGATATACAGGTGGTACATGACCCCAGTCAAGCTTGCTAAGATATATCATCTGTCTGATAATAAATGTTGGAAATGTAAGGAGGCTGAAGGGACATTCTTTCACCTCTGGTGGACCTGTCCAAAAGTGAAGGCCTTTTGGGAAATGATCTATAATGAGTTAAAAAAGGTGTTTAAGTACACCTTCCCCAAGAAACCAGAGGCCTTCCTCCTGGGCATTGTCGGCCAGAAGGTGTTAAAGAAGGATAGAACTTTCTTCATGTACGCAACTACAGCAGCAAGAATTCTCATCGCAAAATACTGGAAGACACAAGATTTACCCACACTGGAAGAGTGGCAGACGCAATTGATGGACTATATGGAACTGGCTGAAATGACTGGCAGAATCTGAGATTTGGGAGAAGAAACAATGGAGGAGGACTGGGAAAATTTTAAGGATTACTTACAAAAATTTTATAAGTTATATGAATGTTAAGAATTTGCATGATTTGGAAAATCTAGCTTCAGCAATAAGATTTGATGGTATGGGAAATTAAGTTATATTTATGAAAGGACCAAAGTTTAAAAAACAACACTACATTTGTTCTAGAGTAAAGGTAAATTGATAATAAGTATTTTAAACCTAAAATATAATTATTTGAATGAACAAAAGAACGCATGAAACAAGGTTATGATTTGCTGATATTTTTATTGTAAAGAATGCAGAGTGAGGGAGATGTGGGGAAGTCCGGTTGGTTATGGAAAAATGTTTTGGAAGGATGATTTTCTTTTTCTTTCTTCTTTTCTTTTTCTGTTATCTCTTTTATCTGACTTAATATCTGTATCTGGAAAAAATGCAATAAAAATATTATAAAAAAAAAGAGAGGACAGAACTTTAGCTTCTGCAACTGACATGGTTATCTGATAGATTATTGAGCAATAAAGATTATTACTGCAATCAGTGTGCCTGGGTCTGTTTACAGTATCAGACAACACAAAGAGGGGCTTTTCTGGCGGCCTGAAGGTAAGCAAGGAAGTGCTCAATGTGAATGGACATCATACTTGCAAAAAACCACAAAACCACATGTTAACATTGGCCAAGTTCTCAGTGAACTATTTCTTCCTTCCTTTGTTAGTCAAGATGCTGGACCTGACCACTTTTTCATGCAAGGCATTTTCTATACTTTGGAACATTCCCTTCTCCGGAGCATAATGGAACACCAGCCTTTCCATTTTCTCCCATGGCCTGCCCAATCCACTATTATTTTAACACCCATTCAGATCTTCCAGAAACCAGGTGCTCTGCCCAGTCTGCAATGAAACAGATTATATAATTGCAAGGCGGCTTATAATATTTTGTTCAATGTTTCTGCTGCACATGGTGCCACAGACCTAGCAACCCCCCGGGGCTGTGTACCATGTTATTATCTTAACAAACAGCAAGTCATTCTTTCTCAAGCAGTATCCATATGGTATTTTGAAGCCCATATGCCACAGAGAAACATCAGAATGCTTATAAAAAACCACCCCAGTGCCAATGACAGCTATTCTACCATTTATTTATGAACAGAAGGTGATGACACTGGGTGATGATAAGTATTTTAGACTGAAACAGGTGCTTTATTTTTAAGAGGAGAACCTCCACATCTCAAGATGTTAGGTTTACCTTTCTGGACCCTACTCATGCTGTTCCCTCTATTTTTTATACGTTCTGCTTTGCATTGTGTGATTGACCTCTTCCACGTCCAACACCAGTATTATCAGCCAGGGCACTTTGTTATTGGTGGAATCACTTCACAGTTCTTCTCACCTGTCTTCACTTCAATAGATTTCAAGGAAAAGCCAAAGGAAACACCTGCTGATGAATATGTGTAAGAACATGATTTTTCTTCTTTTGGGGATAAAAGCTTCTGGTTATTTACATGCATAATAAAAATTAGATAATAAACTTGCTAGTATGATCAACAAGCAGTCTCCTCAGTGGTGGCAGGTGGGTAGTTGGATTTGTAGTAGAGGGGACAGGCAGACCATCAGTAGATTGAGCTAGAGTCAATGAAATGGGACCATCGCCTGGACTGTCCATAAGTAGGAATAGGGGAGAACATTAGCTCAATTTACATTGAAAGGCACACTTAACTAATTCAGATTTCCTGAAATGTTTTTTAAAACCAAAACACTGACATCCTTTGAATTTCATATTTCAACTGCAGCCATATTTTTCTCTTCTGCCCTTTCGCCTACTCTGCCCTTCAGCAGTTGTGTCATACATTTCATCCTGTTCTCCACAAAGAGGTCATAAGAACCAGCAAATGTAAGAAAGGCCCTGCTGGGTCTGGCCAAAGGCCTATATAGCCCTACACTGTGATCTCACAGTAGTTAACCGGATGGCCATGAGAAACCCACAAGCAAGTCCTGAGCATTACAGCAGTCTTCTAAGCTCCTATTCCCCAAAACTGGGATTCAAAGGCATGGTGCCTCCAATGGCGGGGAGAGAACATAGCCACTGTGCTTAATAGCTATATCCCTCATTAGAAATGTCAAATCTTCATTTAAAGCCATATAAGTTGTTGGCCATCACTAACTCTTGTGGGAATAAATTTCATAGTTCACCTAAGTGTTTACTTTCTTTTGTCTCCCCTGGATCTTTCAACATTCATTTTCATTGCATGTCCTCAAATTTAAATCTTGTGGGATAATGCCTTTGTGTGTTTATCCACTTTCAAAACATGAGGTCTGTCCAGCAGAAGCAGGAATACCCACCACATGCATAATCCCTCTCTTGTTTCAGCATACTGCCAAAGAACTACCAGCATGTCCTTGCATTAGTCTTTGCTGTGAATGAGGTCAACGAGAACCCCAACATTTTATCCAACATCACTTTGGGGTTCCAGATCTATGACAGCTACTGTGAAGCAAAGATGACTTATCAGAATACTTTGAACCTCATCTCTCATCATAGGAAAACCATCCCCAACTACAAGTGTGGTGTTGAGAAGAAGCTGGTAGCTGCCATTGGGGGCCTTGACTCTGAAACTTCAAGCCATATGGCCTCCATCTTGGAGCTTTATAAGATTCTACAGGTAGGAAGAGTGTGGCTGGAATGAAGACTCTACAACTGTTGCATATGGTTTAGCCTTAGTGAATATTCCCAGGGCATTGGGAGGGGGAAAAGGAAAGGAGAACATTTTTGGCGGGCTAAAACAAATAAGTCTTGCTTTTTTTCCTTTAATAACATAGTTATCTGTAGAAAATCATGTCAGTAATCACCAGCTGATTATGCTAAACACTGCCCCTGCCTCAAGGAAAATGCTGTGACAAAGAATTCAACCATTTGCAGTAATGAATTAGTTATCTGTAGGAAATCATGTCAGTAATTGCCAGCTGATTATGATGCATATCAGTTAATATCTTGACCCTCCTCCATGAACATATCTGTTTACCTGGCCGTTTTCCTATGTCATGAACGCTAAAATTTCAAGTGAGTGGAGCTGTGAAAGCTTGCCAAGGTTGCAGCCTGTTTTGCGCACCCCCTTCAGGCCCCAGGCCCCCTCCTAAAATCCTCTGCTGCCCCCAAAAGTAAAGCTCGCGGTACAATGGCAGTGCTGCCGCCCGGTTTTCCTGTGTGTGGCGCCGGGAGGAGCAGCTCAGTGGTGTGATGAAAATAATAATAATAATAATAATAATAATAATAATAATAATAATAATAATATCTTTATTGTCATTGCCCCCTCTCGGGGACAACGAAATTACTTGGCTGCTCCATCCACCCAGGTAGGGCACTCCACACAAAATCAAAACAATTATAAAAACACTAATTAAAACAATACAGTATAATACAGCAAGGAAAATGCACCTAATGTATCCAATGCAGCACTCACCATGATGCATTTGCACTGTTCAAACCTCCCTCCCTTCCTTTTTGCCCTCCCTCTTGTCCCAAGATGCCAAATAAGTTCCCCTGACCCACTCCACCAGCCACTACTGCCTATAAGACATGGCAAAAGTAGGAAAATGAGGAGCAGGGATGCGGAAAAGCAAATTCAAAAAATAATCCTTAAATTCAGAAGGTTACTGAACTCAGCTTGAATAAAAAACCTAAAGACACACAGATATCCTACCTGATGATTTAAAAACCCTCTGTTCTTTGCTAGATCACCTATTCTTCATTTACTCCAGCGGTGAGTGAAAAAGACCATATTTCTTCGTTGTACCAAATGGCCCCCAGTGAAGAACATCAATACACTGGCATTGTTCAGCTTCTTCTCTATTTCCAGTGGAAGTGGGTTGGGATATTTGTCACAGCTGACGATAAAGGAGAAACGTTTGTGAAAAAGTTGACACAGCAGCTTTCCCGGAATGGCATATGTGTAGCTGTCACTGAGAGAGTGGTAAACCACAGTGGTTTTGGTGATAATGGGTTGATAGAGAAATGTCAGAATATGGTCGAGTCCCTAAGCAAAACAAACGTCAATGTATTTGTTGTCAATGCAGAGAAAAACACCAAGACAGGTTTGCAATGGCTGCTACTGATAGGTAGAATGATGAGTATGAGTCCCATAAACAAAGTGTGGGTTATGACCTCTGACTGGGATTTCTCATCGGAACCATACCACAAAGATCTGGATGTACTAAACTTCCATGGTGCCTTATCCTTTGCCATTCATTCCAGTGAGGTTAAGGGGTTCCACCGTTTCCTCCTGAACCTAAATCCCCATTCTGAGGCCGATGGCTTTATCAGGTTCTTCTGGCAACAGGCATTTGGTTGCCAATTTCTAGATGTGGAGACGGAGGAGGAATCCTGCAATGGTGAGGAGAAGCTGGAGAGCCTTCCTGGGGCTTTTTTTGAAATGCAAATGACCAGCCAAAGCTACAGCATCTACAATGCCGTCTATGCTGTGGCACATGCTTTGCATGCCATGTTGGCACCCAGAACCAAACAGGGAGAGATGGTGCATGATAACTATCTGAGACCTCAAAAGCCACATTTCCAGGTAATGTCTAATATGGTTTGTCAAAGAACACACACTTCTATTGGTTTGGTGAAATTCAATGAACAGTTCAAGAGTATTTGTTATATTAAATTCTATGGAAGCATACTGGCATATTTAAGTCAACTGTCCTGCCAATACTGCAATGCTTGAATGTTTTTAGCAGGTGCTGAAAAGAGTTGAATGGAAATGTTGAACTTAGTTTGGATGGATATGTATTGAGGATTAAATTTGTTAATTAAAATTAAAACCTCCTATCCAACATGTGTGGGGAAATATGAGGCCATACAGACTGAGAAGCCCCTTTTTTACCAGAGTAAAACCAATTATACACTTTTGCCGTTTACTGGAAACTGGAAATTAGGAAATTACACATTTTGTGCCTGTTTATTCATGAACTGCTGATCTTTCCCCTGTTTCTATATGTTGCTAAGAATAAACTGCACATATTTGTGAAACTAAAAAGGGTTTTATTGCTAATAAAAAGTCATCTTTTCTGAAACTATGTTAATTTTTATACATTTCTGATGCTATCAATACATAGTTCAAATTTCAATGAGATCTGATAGAAAATACCACAATTAAGTTCAAAAGTGCTAAAAAACGCACAATTAGGAAATTACACATTTCATCCATGTTTATTTGTGTTCTGTTGATCTTTCCTCAGTTTCTACCTGTTGCTAAGAATAAAGCAGGCAAATTTGAAAAACTAAAATGGTTTACTTACATTCAATAAGGCAGCTACTACCTCTAGGTAAAAAATGCTTCTTAATTATGAAATACAAAATTAGTTTCTAAAATGGAATCTGGGCAGGTATGTCTCCCCTTAAAACTCGAGGGAAACTTCAACAAATGGTCTGAATTGATCTCAGCATGAGAAAACAGAAGCTTTGTAGTGTATTCTCTATTTTTACCTAATTTACCGTTCTCTTTCAACCTCTGTAGCTTCAACCTTTCCTGAGGAATATCTTGTTTAACAACAGTGCTGGGGATGCCATCTTTTTAAATGAGAAACGTGAGCTAGAAGGTGGATTTGATATTATCAACTGGGTGACTTTCCCAAATAAGTCCTTCTTAAGAGTGAAAGTTGGGGAAATGGATCCTCAAGCTCGACAGGGCAGTGATTTCTCCATTGATGAAAAGATCATCACATGGCACCAGAGTTTTAACCAGGTAGGACCCAACTGCAGCTTCTGAGGTCTATAGACATTCACCAGATTTGTTTCATAATCATGTACACCCTGCTGAATGAGTTCCTTTTAGCTGCATTGATTCCTTGTATGTTAGGGATGGGTTGTTTACGTGTCACTGTAGTGATCTTGGTTTCCACGGTTTAAAACTCTGCCCTCATTCACTGGTCGAAAGACCTAGACTCTCTAGTTGAACCAAGCTCTGTTGACCAGTGGAAGGTAGTTGGTGTAGTGTGGAAAGCATCAAAGGGTTAGAGCCTTTGTAGGAATTCTGTGGAAGAACTTTTTAGGAGTCAGGGAATTCTAAATTAATATCATTCCCTTGGTTCCCATACAACTCTGCCTACCCACTGTATTTCTGCTGTTGCCATGTTTGAGATGTCATTTTTCTTAACATGGAATGAGAGCTAAAAATCAATCATTAAATAAATGTTTTGGGATGAGAACATCCACATGTGACATCCACAGAAAGCATGCAATGCAAACTTGTGCTTCCTACGAAACTTTAATTTTTATTCTGTGATTCATTTTTTAAAAGGAACCAAGTTGCCATTTCTCATCTGTATAAACGTATTTTAAAAGGAAACATATATCAGTAGGTCCATTGGCTTGTACATTTTCTTTGCCTGAACCATTTACTGGCCGCATGGCTCAGTTGGTTAGAGCATGGTGCTGGTAATACCAAGGTCACAGGTTTGATCCCTTGATAGGACAGCTGTATATTCCTGCATTGTGGGGGGTTGGAATACATGTTCCCCAGAGCCACCTCCAATGCTGCAATTCTTTGATTATATATATAATTGGTTTGAATATGCACAAATATTGGTGATTGAAACAACCATTGTAAAGATAGTGGTGCTAATTAATAATAATAATAAAAACCCTCAGAGTGCATTATTTCAATGCAACACCCTGTTGATGAAAAGGCAAAGAACAAACAAAAATATAATCAAATACATGCAATACTTTCTGTGGCGTAGTGTGTGTGGTGTAGTGGTTAAGAGCGGTGGACTTGTAATCTGGTTTACCGGGTTCACGTCTCCGCTCCTCCACATGCTGCTGCTGGATGACCTTGGGCCAGTCACAATTCCTTGAAGTCTCTCAGCCCCACTCACCTCACAGAGTGTTTGTTGTGGGGGAGGAAGGGAAAGGAGAATGTTAGCCGCTTTGAGACTCCTTTGGGTAGTGATAAAGTGGGATATAAAATCCAAACTCCTCCTCCTCCTCCTCTTCTTCTTCTTCTTCTTCTTCTTCTTCCTTATGGATAGGTCGTGCCCCTTGCCTTGTGCAATGACCACTGCCATCCAGGTTGCAGCAGACAAAGGAAAGAGGGGGAACCATTTTGCTGCTATGATTGTACTCCATGTCCAGAAGGGAAGATTTCAAACCAGACAGGTACGTTTCCAAGCACAATTCAAAGTGTTGGTGCTGACCTTTAAAGCCCTAAGCGGCCTCGGCCCAGTATAGCTGAAGGAACATCTCCACCCCCTTTGTTCAACCTGGACACCGAGATCCAGCTCCGAGGGTCTTCTGGTGGTTCCCTCACTGTGAGAAGCAAAGTTACAGGAAACCAGGCAGAGGGCGAACTCAGTAGTGGAACGCCCTCCCATGAGATGTCAAAGACATAAACAACTACCATATTTTTCGCCCTATAGGACGCACTTTTCCCCCTCCAAAAATGAAGGGGAAATCTGGGTGCGTCCTATGGGGCGAATGCAGGCTTTCACTGAAGCTTGGAGAGCGAGAGGGGTCGGTGTGCACTCTCCACGCTTAGGGAACACATCCGCAGCCTAGGCAGCCCTGCGGGAGGTCCCGCAGGGATGCCTATGCTGCGGGTAGCAGCCTGTTTCCCGGAGCGCTGGGCGCCCTGAAAGCAGAGCGCCCCTCACGCCGGGCAGACATGGGCCAGCCCCACAAGCTCGGGGGACAGCAGGTAGGCGCAGCGCCGCCATCCTGCTGTTCCTCGACCTGGTTCGGTTTCCCTGACCTGCTTTTGGGGGGGAAATAAAGGGAATTTTTTTTCCTTTATTTCCCCCCCAAAAAACTAGGTGCGTCCTATGGGACGGAGCATCCTATGGGACGAAAAATATGGTATGTGACATTTAGAAGACATCTGAAGGAAGCCCTGTTTCGGGAAGTTTTTAATGACTGATGTTTCAATGTATTTTTTTAAAAAAGTTTTCTATTAACAATTTCAACATAACAAAGTATCAAAACATATCATATTCATTATTTTTCCCCCTTTCCCCCACCCCCATCAAACCCTCCCTGCTCCACCAAGACTTCTCTCAGCTCATCTCTCTGATTTCGCAACACATGTTATTCTCTGCATATTATAAAATTGTATAAATCCTTACATTATCTATCTACCATGTTAAAAAGGTAAAGGGACCCCTGACCATTAGGTCCAGTCGTGGCCGACTCTGGGGTTGCGGCACTCATCTCGCTTTATTGGCCAAGGGAGCCGGCGTACAGCTTCCGGGTCATGTGGCCAACATGACTAAGCCGCTTCTGGCGAACCAGCGCAGCGCACGGAAACATCGTTTACCTTCCAGCCAGAGCGGTACCTATTTATCTACTTGCACTTTGATGTGCTTTCGAACTGCTAGGTTGGCAGGAGCAGGGACCGAGCAACGGGAGCTTACCCCGTCGCAGGGATTCAAACCACCAACCTTCTTATCGGCAAGTCCTAGGCTCAGTGGTTTAACCCACAGCGCTACCCGTGTCCCTCTATCTACCATGTTATCAATCAATAAATGTGTGTATGTTTATTCAAAACCTTCCAAGGATTCCAATTCATTTTGTTGTCTTCTTAAGTAATTTGTAAAAAGTTCCCATTCTTTTTTAAAGTCACAGTTGTCCTTATATCGCAGTTTGTATGTCAGTTTAGCCAATTTTGCATAGTTCATCAATTTCTCTTAATCTTCTGTTGAAAGCCGCCCAAAGTGGTTGGGGAAACCCAGCCAGATGAGCGCGGTATAAATAACTTATTCTTATTCTTATTCTTATACTTGTAGGGACTATATGGTACAGTATATCAACTTTTTTAGCTAATTGTGGTAGAATAGATGCCTTACACAAGACATGAAGATGAATCATTACTTGTCAGGTTGGCAACAGTTGAACAACAAGTATTATTCATTCATATATAATGATATTGATATTGATATCTATACTGTGTTTGTGTCTCTTGAGCCCAAGAGAGGGTTTGTTGTTAGCTATTTAAGAAAAAATAGATGCCTTACACCAGACTTGAAGATAAAACTTTACTTGACAGGTAAATATATATTAATGAATGAAATGTGTTTCTGTCCCTTGAACCAAAGAGACGGTTTAGTCCTTTTTTGTTTTTAAAGCTGCTTCATAGCAGAGCATGAGCTAATAATCCATAGCTTCCCTGTCCTCTGAAACTCCTCCAGACAGTGTCTGCTTGACCACATTCCCACGTTCTCAGTCAAAGATGCAACTAAAAGAATAATCAGCCAACCACCAACTACCAACTTCCTCCTTCTTTCCTCTATACCATTTATTCTTTGTGAAATAAATTTATAAAGCAAACACAATACAAATACAAACATTTGTAACATCTGTGATGGAAATTGCTATATCAAGAGGAAGAGATGCAGATCACGGAAAGGGTAATGTTCTGTTGTTGTTGCTGTGCAGGAAGAAGCTGACAAACACCCTCATTAAAAAGAACAACCTCTCATTGGTTTGGTGTATCGTAATTGGCTCTGTAATGATTGGCACCAACTAGTGGCATTAGCTGTTTTAAAAATACATAATTCCATATATTTCAGAATGTCTTCCATAAAAATAGTGTGTTAGAGATACAAGTGTTTTATCATAAACAATATCATAAACAGCCAACCAACATAGTTTATGCTTACCTCCACACCTGTAAAATACATGGATTGCATGGACAGCAACTTACTTAATCACCAAAACTCTAGAATTGTCAATTCAAAAGTATATTCCTAGGTGTGTTAACTAGGTTATATTAGCACTGTTAGTCTTCCATTGCTTTTAAACCTCCCTTCTGGGATAGGAAATGCTGTGAATATTGGTAAATGAAACTTCCTATTTTACAACCATTCCTACTGGTAAGCTGTGAAACATTAAGTCTTAATTAATATTTCTCAATCCAAATAGCTTGAAAGTTCTTAGTGCTAGCATAGGGCCTTTATCCCTCTAAATAAACCAAATTTTCAATTGTATGTGTTTGTAAACAAAAATTCTTTGAGAATTATTATTTAGATTTATTTCTGATTTAATTATCCACTGGAAAGTATCCACCGAAAAATAGCTTAACATAAAGACAAAACATATTAACACTCTAAAAATTTCCTGAAAAAGATATTTTTCTCTATTGCGTATGCTGTAAATTATACTGAATTATAGTGCAGTAAAATTCATAGTTTCCTGATCCTGAAGCATAAATTTTGTATCTCAGTGATACTCAGAATGCTATAACTGTAATCCTGATTTCCTTATACTGCAAGATATGGATGACTGCTTCCAGTGCCAAGAAGATCAGTATCCTAACCAAGAGAGAAACCAGTGCATCAGCAAGAAAGAAAACTTCCTATCTTATGAAGCACCTTTAGGCATCAGTTTGGCTCTTTTGGCTCTGGCTTTTTCTGCAATTACAGCCTTGGTGTTTGGAATCTTCATCAAACATCAGAACACTCCCATTGTCAAAGCCAACAACCGGAATCTCACCTACACCCTGCTCATCTCCCTCCTGCTCTGCTTCCTCTGCTCCTTGCTATTCATAGGGCGCCCCCAGTTACAGACCTGCAATCTACAACAAACTGCCTTTGGTGTCATCTTCTCAGTGGCTGTTTCTTCTGTTTTGGCTAAAACCATCACTGTGGTTCTGGCTTTCATGGCCACCAAACCAGGATCCAAGATGAGGAAATGGGTGGGGACAAGATTTTCCATCTCTATTGTTCTTGGTTGTGCTTCTATCCAGGCAAGTATTTGTATAGTATGGCTCTGTACTGACCCTCCTTTCCCAGATCTGAACATGCACTCTCTGCCTGAAGAAGTCATAGTGGAATGCAATGAAGGCTCAGCCAACATGTTCTACTCTGTTCTTGGTTACATGGGATTGCTGGCTCTTGTCAGCTTTGTTGTGGCTTTCTTTGCTCGGAAGCTGCCGGACACTTTTAATGAAGCCAAATTTATCACTTTCAGCATGTTGGTGTTTTGCAGTGTGTGGCTTTCTTTTGTTCCATCCTATTTAAGCACCAAAGGGAAGTACATAGTGGCTGTGGAGATCTTCTCCATCTTGGCCTCCAGTGCAGGAATCTTGGGTTGTATCTTCTCCCCAAAATGTTATATCATTGTCTTCAAGCCTGAACTCAACTCAAAAGAGCAGCTAAAAAAGAGAAATAAGTAGCAACGTATCAGGCGAAACCCAATTCCAAAGTAAGCACAGGCATTGCTTCCATTTATGTAGGAATACCAAATGTTTCCAATGTGTCCCATTATAGCCTGAAGGTATGATGTTTTGCTTCTGTCAGAGACAGCAGATTTATAAATGCTCTTGTGTTCCTCAGAATATTCTACACTTTTGTCTAAAGAATGATGCCTTAGGCTGCATGTGCATCATATTTTATTCCAGAATCAATGGAGATGGAATATTTCCCCCCCGTATAGTGTACACACAATTTTGATCTCGTGCATATAGTTTGCCCCTTAAAAGTGATTTAAAAAATAAAATAAAATAATTTGGTTTCATTTTAGTAGCAGACGTTTATTCTTTGGAACATGCGGAACTGCCCAAGGAAGCTGCAGTGCATGGCGGTACATTCTCAACTCTTTGCTGTTGTTGTTGTTTAGTCATTTAGTCGTGTCCGACTCTTCGTGACCCCATGGACCAGAGCACGCCAGGCACTTCTGTCTTCCACTGCCTCCCGCAGTTTGGTCAGACTCATGTTTGTAGCTTCGAGAACACTGTCCAACCATCACGTCCTCTGTCGTCCCCTTCTTCTTGTGCCCTCCATCTTTCCCAACATCAGGGTCTTTTCCAGGGAGTCTTCCCTTCTCATGAGGTGGCCAAAGTATTGGAGCCTCAGTTTCACGATCTGTCCTTCCAGTGAGCACTCAGGGCTAATTTCCTTAAGAATGGATAGGTTTGATCTTCTTGCAGTCCATGGGACTCTCTAGAGTCTCCTCCAGCACCATAATTCAAAAGCATCAATTCTTCGGCGATTAGCCTTCTTTATGGTCCAGCTCTCACTTCCATACATCACTACTGGGAAAATAAGGCTTTAACTATACGTACCTTTGTTGGCAAGGTGATGTCTCTGCTTTTTAAGATGCTGTCTAGGTTTGTCATCACTTTTCTTCCAAGAAGCAGGCGTCTTTTAATTTCGTGACTGCTGTCACCATCTGCAGTGATCATGGAGCCCAAGAAAGTAAAATCTCTCACTTCCTCCATTTCTTCCCCTTCTGTTTGCCAGGAGATGATGGGACCAGTGGCCATGATCTTCGTTTTTTTGATGTTGAGCTTCAGACCATATTTCTCAACTCTTAAGCAGATATTAACAATAAAACATCTGGTTTAATTCTGAAAATAAACACTTACTACTCATTGCTTCTGCATTACTCTGCTGTGTGTCCATTTGAAAATATATGGAAGCAGCAGAATGCAATTCCAGCAATGGAAGATGTACTCACACCTTCCTTCTTTATTCACCTGGGACATAAGGAGGTCAACCTGATCAGGGTTATGGTTCTCAAATGAGTGGTCTTTTCTTGTGGATGGTGGGATCCTGGACTAATCTAGGTTGTTAGCAATCCCAAAATAGCGAGGGAAAAGACATATCTCAAATGTCAAAGGTCAAGCTGTGTAGCTATGGTGCCACACTGCCCGCTCTGTGGGGAGGGAATTCCAAGGGCCACAAGAGACAACGGTTTTCCCCTGACCAACCTACTCTGATATGTCTGAGGGCAGTGAAACTACCAAGAAGTTGATTCTTAGAAGATGATAAAATTGAAGAGAGTCTGTAGAGAAGGAGATGCACTCTCAGTTGTTTAGGGTTTTTAAGACTAGCCTGAGCACATTTGCGGAACAAACAGACAACCAAGAACAATGTGGTGGGTTGTACTCCTTCCTTCTCTCTCCCGAAAATATCACCAGCCAGGGCAAGAAAGTCAGTATATTTGCCGTGACCAGGCCTGAAACCAAACTGAAATTGATCCAGACATTCAGTCTCCTCTAAGCATACCTGGAGCTGGACACCCACCACCATCTCAAGTATCTTGCCCCAAACAGATTATTTGTCACTGGGCATCAACGCTGCCTTGCCCCTGTGAGTGGGGTTGCCTGGGCAGTGTGATGTCAGCAGGCCATGCACACATGCCGTGGGGTGTTCTGATGTCACTTGCACACACTGTGGGGTGTGTTGACATGTCATGCAGATGCCCCATGTCTTTGGCACGGGTCACAGAATGCTGACATCATGTGGCCCGTGCCCCCTCAATTGCGATGGCAAAGTGGGGTGACGTGAGCATGCCCTTTGGCCTGCGCCACAATGGTTGCTATTAAATGTTGAAGAAGCCCTGCCCCTTCCTTGAAAATTTTCAGGGGAAGCCCCCAACCCCCCCCTTGGTACTCCTGTCACTGGGTCATAGTTTATGGCTCGTAGCTTCTGGGTCATAGCTTCTGGGTCTATAAAGGTTCTCTTAAAGAGGGGATGTGCTATTGCCTCTATCATGCCACACACTTTACTCTGAGGTGCTCTGGGACTGCCCACACTCCCCTGCACCACATTTTCATTTTATTTAAGATACGCAGCCCAGAGCTGGGTTTTCCTTCAGTGTTTTAATAAACATCGCCTTTATACCTGCTGCCCCCACATATCACTTTGATCTGAAAACTTAATCCCTCATGTAGGCAAGAAAGAGGCCTTGTTCTGAACCCGGCCATGCTCTGAGGTAAGTCCTGAGACTGCACACAGCGAGTGTCATGGTCTGCCTGGATGAGGAAGAGTGGTGGCAACCAGGAGGCACCTGAGGGCGAAGGGGACTTTGAACCAGGATTAGACTGATGGGACAAAGAGGAATCACCAGCAGAGAGTGAGGGTGAAGGGGAGAGCCTTGAGGTAGCAGCAGGTGCTGATAGAGAAGGAGCAGAGTTTGTGTCTCCTGCTCTGCAGTACAGTCCTGATTCAGCTCCTTCCCCTTCTCCACTCCCAGCGCAGGATAGAAGGGACGGGAAAAGGCTAGAATGATTAAGAAAGATGAGACACAGTGAATAAAATGCAGGGGGGTTATATAAATCAGGGGGAGAGAGGACAGAATTTTAGCTTCTGCAACTGACGTGCTTATCTGATAGGTGTGCTGTGTGGTGACACCTTGATTACTGAGCAATAAAGTGGATTACTTCATTCACTGTTCCTGGTTCTGCTTACAGCATCAGACAACAGACAGAGGGCCTTTTCTGGCAACCAGACAATGAGCAACAAAGTACTCAATGCTAATAGATGCCATGCTTGCAAAACAGAGAAGCAACCACATGTTAACACTGGCCAAGTTCTCAGTGAACTATTTCTTCCTTCCTTTGTTAGTCAAGATGCTGGACCTGACCACTTTTTCATGCAGGGCATTTTCTATACTGTGGAACATTCCCTTCTCTGGAGCATAATGGAACACCAGCCTTTCCATTTTCTCCCATGGCCTGGCTAATCCACTATAATTTTCATTCATATCTTCCTGAAACCAGGTGCTCTGCCTGATCTTCAGTGCAACAGATAATATATTCTCAAGGGGGCAAAACATATTTTGTTCAATGTTTCTGCTGCACATGGTGCCACAGACCTAGCAATCCCCCTGGGACAGTGTACCATGTTATTATCCTAACACACAGCAGTTCATTCTTTCTCTAGCAGTATCCATATGGTATTTTGAAGCCCATATGCCACAGAGAAACAGCAGAATGTTAAAAAGACCACCCCATTGCCAATGACAGCTATTCTACCATTTATACACAGAGACTAGAGCTGCTATGCTGACATTGGGTGAGGATAAGCATTTGTAGACTTAATCAGGTGATTTATGTTTAAGAGGAGAAGCTCCTCATCTCAATAATGCTAAGTTTACCCTTCTGGGTCCTACTCATGGTGTTCGCTCTATTTTTGGCATGTTCTACTTTGCATTGTGTGACAGACCCCCTCCACGCCCCACACCAGTATTATCAGCCAGGGCACTTTGTTATTGGTGGCATCACTTCACAATTCATTGAACCTGTCTTCACTTCAAAAGAGTTCGAGGGGAAGCCAAAGGAAGCAACTGATGATGAGTATCTGTAAGGACATTATTTTAATTCCTTTGGGGGGGAACTCCTTGTTATGTACGTAAATAATAATAAAAATAGATAATAAGCATGATAGTATGATCAAAACACAGTCTCCTCAGTGTTGGTAGGTGGCTAGTAGGATTTGTAGTACAGTGGTACCTCAGGTTACATTCACTTCAGGTTACAGACTCCACTAACCCAGAAATAGTGCTTCAGGTTAAGAACCGTGCTTCAGGATGAGAACAGAAATCGTGCTCCGGCGACACGGTGGCAGCAGGAAGCCCCATTAGCTAAAGTGGTGGTTCAGGTTAAGAACTGTTTCAGGTTAAGAACGGACCTCCGGAACGAATTAAGTACTTAACCTGAGGTACCACTGTAGAGAGGACAGGCAGACCATCAGCAGATTGAGCTAGAGTTAATGAAATGGGACCATCACCTGGACTGCCCATAAGTAGGAATAGGGGAGAACATTAGCTCAATTTACATTGAAAGGCACACCTAACTATTTCCTAAAACCTAACTATTTCCTGAAATGTTTTGAAAACCAAACACTGACATCCTTTGAAATACATATTTCATCTGCAGCCATATTTTTCTCTTCTGCACTTTCTTCCTACTCTGCCCTTCAGCAATTCTGTCATACATTTCAAAACATGAGGTCTGTCCAGAAGAAGCAAGAAAGAAGCAGGAAAACCCACCACATGCATAACCCCTCTATTTTTTTTCAGCGCAGTGCCAAAGAACTACCAGCATGTCCTTTCCTTAGTCTTTGCTGTGAATGAGGTCAACAAGAACCCCAACATTTTATCCAACATCACTTTGGGGTTCCAGATCTATGACAGTTACAGTGATGCAAAGATGACTTATCAGAATACTTTGAACCTCATCTCTCATCATAGGAAAATCATCCCCAACTACAAGTGTGGTGTTGAGCAGAAGCTGGTAGCTGCCATTGGGGGCCTTGACTCTGAAACTTCAAGCCACATGGCCTCCATCTTGGAGCTTTATAAGATTCTACAGGTAGGAAGAGTGTGGCTGGAATGAAGACTCCACAACTGTTGTGTATGATTTAGCCTTAGTGTGTATTCCCAGGGCAT